CCCAGGAGGCAGAGGTTGCGGTGAGCCGAGATCGCGCCATTGCACTCCAGCCTGGGTGACGAGAGCGAAACTCCGTCTCAAAAAAAGAAAATAGTTTATTCTTTTTGTCTCTTTGTAAGAGCAAAGAAGTTTTTCCCAAAAGGCTCCAGCAGATTTTCTCACATGTCACCTTGGTCACAACTCCATCAATGCCTAGACCAAGCACTGGCAAGGGGAATGGAGCCCCATGGCCCATTAGTGTTTCACCCATGTTCCTCCCACTCGGCCCCCCACCCCACCTCGTGCGGCCAGTCTACCCTGAAGCTGTGTAGAGCAGGATGGCTACCTGAACCTAATCAAGGTTCTATTGATAAGGAGGAAGAAGGAGGATGGACATTGGTTAAGCAATCAACATGTTTGCTAGAGTTTTTGAAAAGAGATAAAACATCCATGAAATAATTTAGGAAGTGGCCAGGCATGGTGGCTGAGGCTTGTAATCTCAGCACTTTGGGATGCTGAGGCGGGTGGATCACTCGAGGTCAGGAGTTTGAGACCAGCCTGGCCAACATCTCTACTAAAAATACAAAAATTAACCATGCATGGTGGCATGTACCTGTAATCCCAGCTACTCAGGAGGCTAAGGCACGAGAGTTGCTTTAACCCAGGAGCCGTGTTTGCACCACTGTATTCCAGCCTGGGTGACAGAGACAGACTCCATCTCAAAAAAAAAACAAAAAAACAACTTAGCAATTGTATGCAAACAGATAAATGACTTGGGAACAGGGAGGCTCAGCTATACTCTTACAAGAGGCTAAATATGAAATGATAATCTACCAAAGCAGTGCTTTCAACTGCCAATTGGCTGACGGTTCATTCATTCATCACTTACTAGATATTGACTGAATGACTGCCATGGGTCAGAAACTATGCTAGATACTATACATAAAATGGCAATCTTAGCTAATGGAGCTTCAGAATTTAATGGGTGAAGCAAATATCAATTAAATAATTCACAAGTAAATGTAAATGTAAGTGTTTAACCTGGTTAAATGTCATCAAGAAATCCTGGATTTTTTAAACTGAGGTAAAATTAACATATAGTGATAGAATTTGATGTCTGTGTGTAACAGCCATCCTTATCAAGATATAGAACATTCTAATCATTCTAATGACCTCAGAAAGTTCCCTCATGTCCCTTTCTTTCTTTTTTTTTGAGACGGAGTTTCGCTCTTGTCACCCAGGCTGGAGTGCAATGGCGCGATCTCGGCTCACCGCAATCTCCGCCTTCTGGGTTCAGGCAATTCCGCCTCAGCCTCCCGAGTAGCTGGGATTACAGGCACGCGCCACCGTACCCAGCTAATGTTTTATATTTTTAGGAGAGACGGGGTTTCACCATGTTGACCGGGATGGTCTTGATATCTTGACCTCGTGATCCACCTGTCTCGGCCTCCCAAAGTGCTGGGATTACAGGCTTGAGCCACCGCGCCCAGCCGTCCCTTTCTGTTTGATTGTCACTTCCCCCTAATTAACCACATCTCTGATTTTTATCTTCAAGATTACGTTTACCCGTTCTTTAATTTCGCACAAATGGCTTTTTTTTGCAGCACAAATGAATCCGAGACTCGTTCATATTGTTGTGTTTAATGGTCATTTATCTTTTAAAATCATATTCCATTGTAGGAACAATACAAGTAAGAAATTTTCTGTTGATGAATGTTTGAAATGTTTCTAGTTTGGAGCTATTATGAATAAAGCTATAGTGAATATTCACATGTAAGTTTTTTGTGGACACATATATTTCATTTCTGTTGGGTAAATTCCAAGGGACTGGAATTACTAGGTGTTTAATCTTATGAAACCTCCCCGGCCGCCCCAGGATTCTTTCTTTCTTTGTTTTTGAGATACGTCTCGCTCTGTCACCCAGCCTGGAGTGCAGTGGTGCAATCCTGGCTCCCTGCGCCTCCGTCTCCTAGGCCCAAGTGATCCTCCAACATCAGCCTCCCTAGTAGCTGGGACCACAGGCATGCACCACCATGCTCGACTAATGTTTTTATTTTTGTAGAAATGGGGTCTCCCTATGTTGCCCAGGCTTGTCTCAAACTCCTGAGCTCAAGCCATTCTGCTGCCTTGGCCTCCCAATGTGCTGGGATTTCAGGCAGGAGCCACCATGCCTGGCTGAGCCCCATATGTATATCTATAGATCTATATCCATATCTATATCTATTTTTAAATATAGATTCATGGTCTTTAATCCCAAGAATTCTGAGTCAGTTTGAGGTTCCTAGGCATGCACGGTATGTAGTTTTTTAAAACTCCCCAGAACCAATGGTCTAAATGATATTGATGGCAGTGGAAAGGAAGTTATTTTAGTTTGGTTTTCTTTTCCACCACAAAAGCATATAAATGTAAAATTTTTCCCCCAGCCTAGCTACAAGCTTTCTCTGAACATTTTCCCTAACTCTAGCCATTAGCCCCAGTATTGAAATAGTCTCTTTTTTTAGTTTCTCTGGTGAAGTGCAAAGCTCTGGTTTTTCTGCTCTTGCTTAAAGTGATGTAAAAGCTCAGGGAGCTCCCTGAAGCAGCCCTTAGAATAAGTAAACAAAAACAGATCTCTAGAGTGGAAAAGAACTTTGGACAGAATAGCAGTTGAGGGTGTGTGGCCCTGTGTATACCGGTAGGATTTGCTCTGCTGCCTTTACCTTTTTTCCCTTACTATTCTACCTGGCAGCAAAATAGAGAACTGTTTTCTGGCTACTGCCAACGTCTATGTTAGACAGCTGCCTCTGAGCATCCAACCTAGTGCCAGCCTAAATGGCTGCGTATCACTAGAGAAGAAGCCTCTAGTTTCTAGGCAGAGAAACTGACACATAGGAACGAGAAGGGAGTCACTTAATGGATTAGAGGCTGGCTGAGCTGGGACCAGAACACAGGTGGCCTGGCTTCCAGCCCAGCTGACCACACTGCTACCCACACAGCCTGGGCTGTCCAAAGACAAGCAGCCCATTGAGCAACTGCATAAACAACAATGAATGATGGATGGTCAGAGCAAGAAACAGGCACAAAGCAACTTCGACCCCCATCACTTCCTGGCCCCTAAATTTCCAGGCAAGCCTATAAAGTGTGGCCAAGTTGACCAGCAACTTGGCCCAGCTTTCAAATCCAGAGACTTTTTATGGTCACTGCCAAAAGAAAAAGTCTGTCTTAGATTGAGAGTAGAGAGTTTTAATAATGCTGTGGCAGTGGCGTTACGACTAGAAAGAAATACTCCTAAGGGTATGACCTGGTTCTGGATAGCTGTGGTGAAACAAGGCAACTTTCAGATTGTGAGGCTCCTCTTCTGCAGATCTGTGCTCCCACCTCAAATTTATCTAGCAAGGGGTAGGTGTGATCAGTGACTGTTGTCACAATCATTCCAGAATTATTATGTAGAGTTACTAGAATTTCAGTCTTTTCATTCTAAAGTATTTTCATCCCTCTCACCTTTCTAGAACTACACCCCTTTCAGCTCCTTCCCAACAGCTGTAGCCAACTGATTGTACCCAGAGCCCTAAGAGTCCACCCTGTACCCCTCCAGTTCAGTTCAGTTAGAGTCGATTTAGGTGACCAAATCTCATCCTGCTCTCCTCCTCAAATTTGCCACTAAATGGCAGCTAAAATTTGTGGTCCCTAAATGCTTGAAGCCCAGGCCAAACGACTTTACTTGTCAACCTGTACTGTAGGTCCTGGATATGCCCCCATGCAAGGCACCCGGACCTGCTTGGCCTTAGTCAGCTTAGTATGGGCCCAGCCCTAAATTTTCAATTCCAAACCCAGGTGTATCCCTAAGAGATACAGATGTTTAGGAAATTTCCGGTATTTAATAAACGGCCTTTCTTTCTACAAACAGTCTGACCAGGCCTAATATTTATTCATTTAACAAATAGGGAAGGTCTACTATGTGGCAGGGATGGCTTATGTTTTCATAGTCACAGCTCATTGTCACTTACATAGGACACATACAAGTTCTGCTACATCTAATATAGTTTTATGTATTTTATTAAACTGTAAAACCTTTGATGTCTGGGACTCTGCTTGTTAATTTTTGCATCCCCGTATATCACTGGGCACAATGATACACATCACAGGGACACAATACATATTTGAATGATGCCACAATGTTTTAAAAGACATTACAAACAAACACACTATGTAACTTTTTTTTTTTTTTTGAGACGGAGTTTCGCTCTTGTTACTCAGGCTGGAGTGCAATGGCGCCATCTCGGCTCACCGCAACCTCCGCCTCCTGGGTTCAGGCAATTCTCCTGCCTCAGCCTCCTGAGTAGCTGGAATTACAGGCACGCGCCACCGTGCCCAGCTAATTTTTTATATTTTTAGGAGAGACGGGGTTTCACCATGTTGACCGGGATGGTCTTGATATCTTGACCTCGTGATCCACCTGCCTCGGCCTCCCAAAGTGCTGGGATTACAGGCTTGAGCCACCGCGCCCGGCCAACTTTTTTTTTTTTTTTTTTAACTGTGTTAGCAAGTCTAAAGCAAATGCGTCAACAGGGGATCATTATTATGCAAGTAAATAAATATTAAGTGTGTTTACAGAGAAGGGTATGTTCACATCAAGAGTGAAGGAACAAGAGAAATACATAACCGGGCGGAGACTAGTCTGGAAGAAGCGAATTTTCCTCCGGTCATTCCAGAATGATTGTGTAGAGTTACTAGAATTTCAGTCTTTTCATTCTGAAGTATGTTCATCCCTCTCACCTTTCTACAACTACTCCACCCGTTTCAGCTGCTTACCAACGGCGGTACCCAACTGATTCTACTCCAGAGTCCTAAGAGTCCACCCTGTACCCCTCCAGCTCCGGTTCAAGAATGCGCCAGACCAGGAGCTTTAGGAACGCGGGTCAGGAAAACAAGGGGTCACGCGCGGGGCAAGCGCCAAACTGGCCGCTGCCCCGGGGAGCGGCGCTAAGGGCGGGGCTGCGACGGGGCGGGGCGGGGCGGGGCGCGAGGAGGCCCGGGGGCGGCCTGGGTGTCACCACCAACCCGCTCCGGCCGGAAACTGGCGCTTGTTTCCGGCCGGACAGCCGAAACCCACCGATCCTGAACCAGCCGCCGGAGCCGGAGTGGCGACGGGGTGTGGAGCGGGCAAAAAGCCGCTGGGGGAGGCCAGTCCCGATCAGTCCCTTCTGGCTCCAGCTCCAGATTCTGTGCGGAGCAACAGCTGCGGTCGCAGTCTCCACCGCCGCCTCCGCCTCCGCCTCCATCGCCGTCGGGGGAGGGGCCGGCCGGACCCCGGGGTCACTGCCGAGGAATGAGGAGAGGCGGCCGGGCCCCGCGCTCCGCCCCGGCCTAGGGCCTTGCCCCGGGAGCCTCGAGGGTAACGGAGCCCCCCGCCCTGACACCGTCCCCCGTCTGCTCCCGCCCCTCCCGGCTTCTCAGACTCCCAAACTCTGCTCCTCTGATCGCCACTGCCCCCTTTCTCCTTTCCGAATCTATTTTAGCCGAAGCCGTCTCCCCTCGGCGCTCCCTTCTCGCCCTGACTGCTCCTTGCTTCGTCCCAACCTTTCCTCCGTTTCCTCCTCCCTTTCACCTGCGTCCTGCGTTCCTACCCCGCGCTCTCCAGCTCCCGGCCTCCCTTCCTGAGCTGTGCTGGGCAGTTTGGACGGTCCGCCCTTGTCAGCTAGGCTTTCGGGAGGGATGGTGGAGTTTTAAGGTGATTAAGATGCAGTTTACTACCCCTACAGTAGGATGAAGTTCATTTAAAATCTTAATATAAAACTAAAATGAAAAGCAAACAAGCTTATGCTCCCTATTGATAGGTGCATAGGGTAATGGAGGAAAGGCGAGAAAAAGGTGTGTGTGTGTGTTTGTGTGTGAGAGAGAGCGAGAGACGGAGGCTGACGGATTCTAGGGCAGTCTTAAGAACTTTAGAAAAAAGAAAAGTTGCCATGAGCCGATGGAAACTTTAGAACCTGACGATGAGTAAGCCGGGGGCTGCGTGATCTCACTCTTCTCATAATTACTAGGTTAACGGTGTGGCTCTGGTCGGGATGGAATGGGATTTGTTTACTGGGCCGGCGTATTTTTAGCTTGTCGGCTCACAAGGACCAGCGCTCAGAGTCTCTCTCTCTCCCTCCTCGTGGTAGTCTTTCTGTCTAACCTAGGTGGCTTCTCTGGGTACAATACAGATGTAAAAATTTGAAAGTAGAAAGAAGCTGAATGGTGGAATTTTATGGAAGAGGTTCCCCACAAACTTTTCAGGCAGCTTTTCATGAATACAAAGTGAAGAATTAGCAGTACGTGGACTTTTATTTTCCTTATCTTTTTATACGTCCTGCGTTACGCTTTCCTTAGAAATTCACAGGCTGCTAATTTTTCAGACTTTGGCTTCTAGTACTGTATATTTAGGAGATTTTCGAGGCGGCTGGATCCCTTTGTCTTTCAGAATCTAGTTCAAAGGTGGAAAAGAACAGAGTAGAGAAAGAGGCGGCGGTAAAACTGATCCAAAAGAGTAGCTAACCCCTAAATATTTAAAGAATAGTTTCTATGCTATGTAACTTTTTTCCCCCTCCCTACCCGCTATGTAACATTTCGAAAACATTTAGAACATTTTCTTCCTAGTAAATGAGATTGCATTCCTGAAGGGGAGAAGACTTCAGGGACGGAAGCTGGGTGGCTAGGGAGAGTCAGAGGTAGTTAAACATTTGCTGTGCATAATTTACAAATGAATACATTATGCGCACACAATGAAGAATTAATTATACTCTTTGTTTTTCAAGTAGTTCTTTTAAAGTTTAGTAACCAACGTGCTGTGCTAGTTTATCGATATTTTGAAGGCTGAACAGAACTGTAAAATAAATGAACTTGATGTTGTTCCTCCGCAGGCTGAATACCCGACCGCTCTCATTTCCACTATTGACCCAGCTTGCCTCAGGGCACCTCCCTGACAAAGTGGCCAGTTACTATGTACTTAGAGATTGCAAGCGAATGCAAATATTAGCTCATACTAGGAATAATTAAGAAGGTAAATATGCTGAAAACATGTATTCCAAAGCCAAAACAGGTTTTTTCGATTTTACCCCGTTTTTTTTATTATCAGCACCTTTCTGCCAATACTTATCCATTAACATGAATAATTTAGAATTGAACCGATATCTGCTTTGGACATTACACATTCAAGATGGAAAGAAAGATGGAAGGAAGATAGTCTCCAAACTCATGTTTTATTGTTGTTGCCTTAATTGACTTACTCCTTGCTTTTAGTACCAAAGGCCCCCTCGGAAAAAAATGTAAAACTTTGCCAATGCAAGAGCTAGGTATCTGATGACTTGTATAAGACAGGATGAGCAGTAATGAATGCTAATCGTTAGGCGGCCTTGAGTGACCTTTTGTTGTCCACAACTTGGAAAATTTCCCAAAGCTTTGTTTCATCTCTTTCAAGACTCCTATTTAAAAAAAAGATTTAATTTGTAGATGAAAATCTAATTTTTAAAAACCACATATGCCTTCCCAGAATCTGCTGTCAATTGTTTTGATCTATTTGAGTTGGTTGGTGCCCATATTAGTGATGATATCTGGGTGAATTCTATTTATATCTGCATCTAGCAACTCCCCAAAGTTGAACCGCGTACTTGATTCCAGGGCATGGCGATCGAAGGGGTTGAATAAGCCTGGGAGTGAGTGGAGAGGTGCCTGGTAGTCCACCAATATTCCTAGTTCTCAGAAGGTTTTATTTGCGATTTTGAGATTCAGTGTATGTGACCAAGTGAACTACAGTGGAATAATTCAGTATTAAAAATAAGTTTTCTGATTGTTATGAGGGCACTAAGTTCCACTCGTCAAAGGTTTGGAGCTCCTCAGTATCTTAAGCATGCTGTAAGATACTGGCCATTTTAGCGTATGTATGTGTGTGTATGCGTGTATGAGTAGGCCTCTCCTTATCCTAAACACTCATCCCACCAAAGGGAAAAATCCTTAAACAGTGCTTTGGTATGTGACCTCAGCAGTATCTTTCCTATGGGCACTTAGGACCTGTGAAAGAGCAGACTGCGGACTCTTGTAGCCTTTGATAAATTCAGGGAATTAAAAATTTGTGTAAGTGGAATATAGATGCAGGGCAGTTTTCACATGAATGCCTGAATTCAGCTGACTTTTTAATATAATAGAAGGAAGTTGTTTGGTTGTTTTAAAACAAGACATCCTAGCTGGGTATTGATTGAACACTTATGTGGATAAAGTCTCCATGCTCCAGTGACAGGCTTTAGGGAGGTGTAAAAGATGTAAAGACGTGTGTCCTCGCTCTTGGGGTTGAGGGTGGGGAGGGGAAAGGTGGTATATGAATGGGAAGGCAGACTATTATTGTAAGCTTTAACATTTAGGAAACATGGACAAAAGCAAATTTAATGTGCTGAGAAGTATGTAAGGGCTGAGAAGACTTCAAGTAATAAAGTAAGAATCAGTGAAATAAATCAGGAGTGATTCCGGAATCAGTAAGTTTTGAAATAGACTTGGGAGGCTATGGATTGGTCATGAAGAGGTATGGATTATTGAGTTAGATGGGCCTTCATTCAGACCTTGGGTCTACTTTTTACCATGTGACCTTGGACAAGTTACTTCTCTTATCTGTAAAATGTGAGCATTCAAGTAAATGAAATAGTTATTGTGTTGGGAATAAAAGAAAAGAAAGGATCTTCCAGACAAAGTATAGAATGTACAGTGTGCAATGATGGTATGAATGACTAAGTTGTGTGTGGGGGGAATATATGAGAGTGACTGTAGAGAATGTGGGTTGGGCAAGTCATGGGTAGAGCAGGCAAGAGGGTGGAGGGGACTCAAGCTAGACTCTGTTGGGTGTTGATAGGAGGGTCAATAGAGTCATTGTAGGTCCTTGAACAAAGGACGGATTTAATGAGAAATATTGAGCCCTGTGGTTCAGGAACTCGGGGACAAGGAGTCAGGCAGGCACCCATACATTGTGACTCTTCTTTTCTGTACCATCCTGGCCTAAAGGGATACGACCAGTAGACATAAGATTCCTTGCAGAAGGTTTTGTGTTTACACACCTTACTTTGCTGAGCCTGCTTGTGCCTGTCTCATAGTGCACCACCCTGTGGGGACATTTCAGGACTATGGCTGGATTCTCCTCAAGAGCTTATAGTAAGAACAGCATTATGTTTCAAGTGCATTTAACTCAGTTACCTCTGCTAACGTAGGGAGCACTGTTATAAGTAATTCAGAACTTCATAAAGACATTTCTTGGTTTGGATATACATTATTTTTCAAACCAGATTTATTTTCATGTTTGGGGATCATACCGATATTGAAACAAATTTGCATTTCTAAGCTTGTATTACCTGATGGTGGGGAGAGTACACTGATGATGAAGAACAGTCAATCTTGTATTAAAGATTTGGCCTCAGAAATCCATAAAATGAATAATCCATTTGTGGATAATTAAGACTAGACTACACTGAATATGTTGATAGACCAATTTCTTTTCAAAATCTGTATGGATCCGTCCATGAGTGGTGGCTCACGCCTGTAATCCCAGCACTTTGGGAGGCTGAGGTGGGCGGATCACCTGAGGTCAGGAGTTTGAGACTAGCCTGTCCAATATGGTGAAAACCTATCTTTACTAAAAATACAAAAATTAGCCGGGTGTGGTGGTGGGTGCCTGTAATCCCAGCTATTTGGGAGGCTGAGGCAAGAGGATGGCTTGAACCTAGGAGGTGGAGGTTGCAGTGAGCCAAGACCTCGCCATTGTACTCCAGCCTGGGCAACAAGAGCGAAACTCTTGTTTAAAAAAAAAAAAATCTGTATGGATCCAATGTGTCCTTAGGCTGTCTGTCTTATGTCTGAGAATGACTGGCAGGTGATGCCCATGTTCCAGCCAGAATGAGCCTTCACTCACAGCATCTGGACGAATCCCACTGCATCATGTTGCATTGTTGAAGATGAAGCTGGCTTTCTCAAAGGATTTGTGCTTTGTAGGCTCTTCCAGATACCAGCTTCACTCAAAATCTGTCAGATTTTCCTCCTTAGGAAAGTCGTTTGAAAATATATCCGATTTAAAAAAAAATGGGCAGAAGTATCCACATTTAAGAAGTAAACAAAATCACATGCCATTCTTACATCCTTTTTTTCTAGTTTACTTGCTTTCCTCCATCCCTGCCACCCTCTGTCACCTCTTTATAATCATTACCAAACTGTTTGCGATGTCACCAGCACAGGATTATTACTTACTTCTTGAGTCAGGAGATTATAGTATTTCTGAGGGTGTGTGAAGTGATAAGGCCCCGAGTTTTGGAGGTTAGGTTAATGAGAGGAAAGAGTGAAAAAGAGACTGTGAAGGCAAAATTTAAATTAATGGGGACTGATTGTGGGAGATGAGAAAGCTGATGAGTCAAGTATGATTATGACACATTAAGCCTGGGTGTCTGAGACACTGACTGAAATAAAGAAGTTAGGAAGCTTTCCTCATTTTAGGGCAATATAAGTGTAATCTGGGATGTGTTGGATTTAAAGTGACAATGAAATGTCCCAGTGAAAGCTGTTCTGGGTGTGAGCTGGGGTAGTGATGAGGGTAGGTTTGGAAATGCAGTTTGCAATTCATGGCTAGACATGAGCTGTAGCCAAGAGAATTAAGCTCTCTGGGGACTAGAGTTTAGGGAAAGAGCAGAAGGGCAAAGAAAATGGTACTGATAAACCTAAACATGAACATTCCCTGCATTCCAGTCATGGTAATTGGTTCTTCCTTCTCCTTTCCTGTTTTTTTTTGTTTGTTTTTTTGCTTGCTTGTTTTTTCTACTCCTTACTCCATTCAATGTATGTTGAATGTCTCCTATCTTGTAAATACTGTCCTAGGCACTGAGATGGAGGTAAGTCAGACAAGGAACCCACAGGAGGGTATGGGTTTAGTGGGAGGAGACAGATAACGTAAATATATAGATGGAATGAAGTGTGATAGATACTGTGGTAGAAGTATGTGGAGGGGAGAGTGGGAGCCCAAAGGTCAGTTCCGCCTTGGGCATGCAGCGGTTGGAAATAGCCTCCCTGAGGAGGTAGCCTTTGAGCTGAGTCTTGAAAGATGAAGTAACAATATACTCTACAGACGACAAGGAGAATTACATTCTAGTCTGAAAAAACACTATGAACAAAAGCTTAAAGGAATGAAAACCAGACTTCTTTAGGTAACTTTTACTTAACCAATATGGCTGGAGGATGGGTTGGAGGGCAGGCTGAAGAGGTAGGCAAGGCTGAATAATACACAGCTTTACCTTATACTACGGTGTATGATGAGGCATTTAAGGATTTTAAGCATTGGGTGGTAAAAACGTTCCACATCCTAGAAAGATTATGTCCGTGCTGTGTGGGGTGGATTGGAGATGAAGAAAGCAAAAGGCCTTTCAGTAACTTCATGCTGAACTATAGCACATTTATTGAGAGCGGTCATATTTATAGAAGCATGGAATCAGACACCTAGAGGGACAGTTACGCTTTCCTAGCTTTCCTCATTCATTTTCAAATAGAATACCTGAGGTTTACTGAGGACCACGGTAGTTTAGTGATAGCTTGGTCTAGAATTCAGTCCTCAGTGGCTGCTGATTAATCAAGGAGAGTTCACCTCTTGTTCTCCCCCGAGTCCCATTCCAGTGCTTGCGTCATTCTGCCACATTGCATTGTACTAGCAGGCTGAAGGACTTAATGTTATTCCATCCCACCGTCTTTTTTTGAATCTGTCCAGAGTGAATAGTGGTATTTTCCTAGGTCTGACTGAGAAAGATGTGCCCTCAGAGTGCTGTTGGGAAGAGGGGCAGTTTGGTGCCCTGGATTGGGATGAATAAGGTGTTAGGATTTTTCAGCTGTATTGATTCAGATGTAGAAGAATGTCGAGGTATTTGTTTTGTTGAGTGTCTTTCTCTCTGCCACTAAGTTCCCTTTAAGTTGTTTTCTTTTAAACTTAGTTTCAAATTGTGCCAGTGAAACTTGTTAAATAAGCTGTGATAAATTGCGCACTGATTAAAA